TGCAGTTTGTTGTGAAGGAGGATGAGGAACTGTTTGAAAATATCAGAAAATTTGACGTCGAGGTTTGTATTTTGTCATTGAGCTCCGTGGAGGATGTCCTCACTCATGCCCTCTTTGTATTTTTGCCAGAGTCCCATGGGGTTAGATGCAAACGTGAAGATTTATGCAGAAGAGCAATGTCAGTTGGAAAGGGGACTGACCAACAAAATCTTCTGTCATAGCTTTATGAAGATGGTAATCACGTGCAAGAATTGCACGAAGATTGCAAGCTTCCCTGTATGTTTGACAGACAACTCCTTCCACTGTTTAGAGATCTTGGAAAGATGTGTGCCCTTAGACAACATGAAGAAGCATTGGGAGAAAGTAGCACTGCTGATTGTTGGGATGAACTGTGTAGACTCGTCCTAAGGCGTCCGATTCACCATCAGCAGCTTCCATGATTTTTTAGCACTCCATGTATAGTAGGAGGGAATTTAATGGTAGAGCAGGTTGTCAGCAAATGGGTCACTTGGGCACAAAACAAAGAACGCCATAAGGGTGGTATCTTGTGGAGCCAGGGCCTGTTGTTGGGCATTTCCTTTGATGACGTAGATGCGTTGACCATTTTGGAGGTGACGTCACAAAGCTCTGCTCTGCTTTGTGACGTCATATTTGAGAGGGGGTCTGACTTTTTGTGACGCTGTGTGACGAGGGGGGTCAAAAATTTGCCAAAATCGCGTGACATCATTTATGGACAGCCCCTAACGCGAATTAAATTTTTTAGCGAACGTGTGTGCGTTGCTAGGGGCAACTCCTGTCAGCGTTTGGTGCATGCGCAATTGCTACTTTGTCTCGCGGCGGGCCGCAAACCTAAATAAATAAAAGAAATCGCTAAAAAACGCAATTTTTACAATTTTGAAGGTCAGTGACGGGAAAACGGCATAGCACTTTGTTGTATCTATGCCCTGTTTTCCGTTATTAATATTAAGAATAATTAAGAACATTTTTTTTGTTTTTATTATATCTATATATATTTTTTTTTTATTAATGAGGACGGCTCACTTCTCCTCACGGGCACACCGGGAGTCCATGAGACATGGAGGGCGGTTGAAATGATAGGAATTCAGTCACAAAGAGGTCATAGACATCCAGACGGACAAAAAGATGTATGGACTAGCCTCCCAAGACATCTGGAGATGTACAGATAAGGTGCAGAGTAAATAACGGTTGCAACTCGCGTTTTCTTAACGTTTTCCTTACCGAAAAGTAGAAACTTAACAAAGATAATTAACCAACAAACACTATTTTTTTTATTATTAGTATATGTTTCCTACCTACACGACCGTCCGATACTAAGACCGAAGGAACTCATAAAATATAATTCAAGAATAAATGTAACACACAAGACCACATAAATGTATTGCAAACATCTCCTCAGCCACCTTTGTCTTCCAGCGGGGTCTGACAAGCAAGGAGGGAGCAAAAAGGTCACAAAGGGGGGGGTTTGTGCTGACATTGGTTGTTTTCTCTCGCAAGAGACGCGGAGAGAGGAGTGGGTGCTCGCGTGTTTGAGTTAAGCACGACCGCCTTTGTCTCCCCGCAGCACGAACAGATGGCCCAGGAATGCTTGGAGGGTTAGGAAAAGGTCGCGAGGAGGGATCGCGCCGGTGTCTGCTTCTTCTCGCTCTGTTTTGTTTGTGTTTTTTTTTGTTGCCCGCTCGCAAGGAATGCAGAGAGAAGGGAGTCACGTTTTGAGTTAGACACAGCACACAACACAGTCAGTCCGAGTCGAGCTCAGCGTTGAGACGGGGCACGCAAGGGAGCTGTGGCAGTCGTGCCTCGAGAAGAGATGGGACGACGAGACATCGTTAAAGTGGCAGCCTGAGAGCAGTCTGGGTTGAGTCGTGCTCAGTCTCGCAACTCGGCTTGCGACGCGGTGTTGCGACGGGGCTCGCAAGAGAGCGGAGGCGCGTCGCGCCTCGAGGAGAGATGGAACGACGAGACATCGTTAAAGTGACAGTCTGAGAGCAGTCTGTTCGAGTCGCACTCAGTCTCGCAACTCGGCTTGCGACGCAGCGTTGCGACGGGGGCTCGCAAGAGAGCTGGGGCGGTTGTGCCTCGAGAAGTGATGGAACGAGGAGGAGTCGTTCGAGTCGCAGAAGTCTGAGTTCAACCTGGGTCGGGGCTGGGTTTCAGCCGTGCTCCGGCTGGTGGAGCGTCGTGAGGACACGAAACACCGATGCCGATAGCCGGGGTCGCTTCTCGCAGAACGAAGTTAAGTGCGAGTGAAGCTGGCCGCTGCACGAACAAGGGAAGCACGGAGCAGAGAGAGTGACGAGTGACGACAAGCAATCAATCTGTAAAAGGGCGGAGATCGCCAAGCGTCGACCAAGTGTGCAAAGCAGAGAGCGCGAAGCAGTGGAGAAAGCCTGGTCAAACGGCTGTGAGGAAGAGGACAGCACCATCGAATGCGCCGTGTGTTTGAGGGCACACCTACCAAAGACCAGTGTAAACAGACAAGACGTCACCGGGCGTCACCGAGCGTCGTGCCAACTCGTCATCCAGCAGTGGAGAGAGAGCGCAAGAGCAGCACGACTCGGACGTCACCGGGCGTCACCGAGCGTCGTGCCAACTCGTCATCCAGCAGAGGGAGAGAGAGCGCAAGAGCAGCACGACTCGGACGTCACCGGGCGTCACCGAGCGTCGTGCCAACTCGTCATCCAGCAGTGGAGAAAAGAGAGAGCACAAGCAGAGACGCGTCCGAGCGAGGGAGCAGCAGGAGCTTGCGGCGGCCACGCCCAATCGAGAGGAACACCTGGCCGCTGTTTGTATCCTCCTACACCACACAAGCTAACGACACAATTAATATTACGAGAGGACAACGCACACACAGCACGCACACGAATAAGACTTTCAAAAAGTGATCTTTGCGTTTCAAAAAGGGTTGCCATTTCGAGGTGGTGCGTTCAATATCAACTGATCGTGCAAAGCAGTTGCTGCCGTCGAGTTACATGAATAAGAAATGTTTTAGTCATTCATTTTTTTTAACTGCATAATATCGCCAATGAAGAAGTATTTTTAGTCATTCATTTCCGTTAATTGCATAATCGAGTTACATGAATTTATTGACGTATACCTGCTTTCGCATAAGAGGGTGTCATGTGCTTGTTTAGAATTAAAATTGCTTAACACCAACTGTTCGAGTGCTTCTTTCCAAGTCCATGCAAAACTATCTTATTCTTGATAACTGTATCCTGTGATGAGATCTGAACCTGGAGACCTAAAAATAACAAACACGCTAAGATAATCGGTAAACGTTTAATCGATGATAATCGTGTTATCCTGATTGATATAACTCTGGATAAACGAAGCTAAGCCTAATTATCACAACTGCACACATTAACATAACCGCAAGCATCCGCATAAATTACTACGATTATCTCCGTGATTATCATAATTTATGCATATAATCACACACATTATCATAATTTATGCATGTTAATACACACATTAACATAATTAATGCAATTTGCGCATTTTTTGGAAAATTATTAATTTTTATTATTTTTATCAAAATTTCATAACCCGACACATACAACAACTTGCGCACCACGGGGCTTTCGGCGTGCTGCCTGGCAATTTTTTTTCGACCTAAACCCCACCGTTTGAGAGCCAAATCCCTCGCAAGCGCGCGTGCGCAAACAGACAGACGGACAGACAGACAAAATATGACTTTTATATAGAAGATTAGTTTTCATTAATGTAATGAAAATTCTCATTTTATCACGTACACCATGATTAAAATGTAATCTATTAATTAAAACACATTTTTTTAATGTCCCGTATTATTTTTCAAATTTGCTAAAGAATGTTTAACTGCATTATGCAGTTATATATTTTAAATTAATGTAATAAAAGACTCCGTCAGGCACTGCTGGTCTCCGTTGGTCTTTTATTTAGGTTCTTTCTCCGCACCCCGCTGGTCCCCTCCGTGGACCAGCGTCGTCTGGCGCGCGCCCCGCACACGCTCCCTCGTCCTCTCCTCCACTCTTCCTCACACCCCGCTGGTCCTGACAAGGGACCAGCGTCTCCTCTCGCATGCCGTGCACGCTCCTCCGTTAGCTCCACCACTCCCGCACTCCGCACACCGCTGGCCGACGGCGTGCTGAAGGTCCTTCGGCCACGTGGTCGATGGCGCGGATCTCCTCTAACCACCCAACGTGGCTCAGCCTCTTAACTTCCCCAACTGACCTCGACCTCTTCCGGGCTCCCACTTATATCCTCTCCCCCACGTGACCCTGACTCCTCCCCTTCTGGATCGTCAGATCCGGCCTTCCCATACTGCCCAGCTGGCTCCGCCCCCATTCACCTCGCTTCCCATTGGAGCCGAGGTGAACGGCGGCCCCTCCCACACGCCCCCCAGACCGGGCTGTGTGATTGGGCCAGAGCCCAGCAGGAACCCCATTTACACTCGCATTACATTAATATAATTTAGTTATCCATTTATGAGAAATGTTAATATCTGATTGCATCAATTTTGGCCACAAAACGGAAGTAGGGTTGCGATGTTATTTTCAATACTACTGTCAAAACAAATCAAAATGAAAAACATTCCATGCTTGCAAAAGGAGAATCATGTTTCCTTAAGCCCTGATGCCACTGAGGCTTGAATTGTTTAACGTTCCAGGGACACTCAAGTTGGGTGCTGACAGTGTATTTATGAAGGTAGATGTTGGCATGACTGACAGCACATGATCCCAGTATTACAGTACTGTTAACCCGTGTTCTACTGAAATATTCTAGCTGAGCCAGCGCACCGCCTTCATGGTATGAATGGTTTTCCAAAGAGGTCCTCAGCTTTAGTGAATACATCTTTTACAAATCCTTATGGACACCCTTTATCTACCACAACTAATGTGCTGTACTTGGATCGGGAGACGTCCTCTGCAAGGCATTTTTGCAGGGACGTGTGTGTGTCAATGAGGCCCACCGAAAGTATTTTAAAGTCTTATTCACTGTAAGTACGGAAAAGGTTCCCCACCGCTGCTCTACGGGTATATGCAGCATGTGTATGCGTGTGTGTGTGTGCGTGGGCAGAGGCATGTTGTACCGCTGCTTTCACCACGCAACTGGAGCCGACCACCATTAACCGAGTTGAGGACACCTACTGGAACCTGTGCGGCAACCTGAGCACCAAGTGAGCGTTTCTCTCTGCACTCCCCCCGGGGGTTTTATATCGCTTGCACAAGAGGTAAAATGTGCAGCTGCGCTCACGCCATTGCTGGCAGAGGGGCCTACACTAGAGGGAGTTCTAGAGAGCCCCCTCGAGAGGGTAATTTGGCCTACTCTTTCACGCTGTGGTAGGAGAACCCACACTCGATCCCAATATACGCAACCTGAAAATTGACTAATGATGGTGTAGCCATTAAGTTTGCAGTACTTGAATAGGGAAAGATACAGGGCGATTCAAGACATTCGTTGCAAATGCCATGCCAAGAGATTGAATCGAACCAGCGACCTCTGGATTGCGAGTCCAATGTGCTGACCATTACACCGCCTATATGGAAGCATTCAACTGCCTTCTGTGCTTGCGTTTATCCAGTTTTCTCCCGCATCCAAAATGTCTCAACGAAATTGATTGAAAATCCCGATTCGGCAATCTACTAATGAATTAGTCTTGAAACAGTATTGTGTATTTATAACTGCGTATTGCTCTAATATACAGGATGGTATATTATTAAAATAAACATGACATACACAAGTTTGTTACTAATAGTGTGGAAGTGCTGTCAGGGAAATCACTCTTCATGTCATTTGAAGCTCTGAAACACCGTGAGAGGGTGCCATGGCGTAGCCTGCAGCCCAATTCACTCCCGATTTTATTGAGGTCAATATACGGTTACAGTACTAGGTACAAGTCCCTTTAGACTGAGTCACCCTAGAGCAGGGCTAGAGAAATATTTTCCTGAATGCAGGTCAAATAAGACTTGAAAATATGTTAATTAGGCCTACGATATATGGCACAAAACTTTTCTCTTGCTATTACTGCACGCTTTAAGTGCTTCGCCAGAACTACTTGAAAGACAACAAGTCACTGAGTACGCTAAAGATATAAACACAGTGTTGCCAAGTCAAGAAAATGTCCTCAGTTGAATGCGATTAGTGTGGCTAAGATGCTTACAGCAGTGTCCCTGGTAGACTGGAGTAAGTGGCCCGTGACAAGTAGCTGCAGCCATAACAAGAGGTATACCGGGGTAGTGTGCCTTGGGCGGGAATATTTTCTGGACTGCTGATCTTAATGAAATTATTCCTTGGCTAACCAGTAGAGTAGTGCACACACCACTCTTGTGCGTACACAGCGGCGTGTACTGCTGGCGTATGTGTGCGTGATGCCGCGTGCGTAACTGATTGCCGCTGTAGGTGCCAGGCTTTCATGAAGCGCAACGAGTGCTTCTACCGCTGCTCGCCGCACGCTGCCGACTGGATGAACCCTGCCTACAAGAGTGGCCTGCTTCATGTGCCCATTTGCTCCAGCTACTGCAGTGACTGGTACGTTAGCCTGGGAATGATTTCTTAACCCCTTCTCCACTGGCACGTCCAAAACCGTGCCAGCATGGGAGCCATTGCGGTTTGGGTGGTTTTCAGATGCCTATTTGCTCAGCTAAGCTAGAATGGTCCTATGAAACGCTGGCCAAACAAGACGTCTGCATCTGCCATTAGGCCACGCTGGGCCAAGAGTGGGGTTAACTGTCAGCAGCACAACTCAGGTTTTGCAGTGGGGGGAAAAACAACCTGGCGCCTCCTGAATTGCAAGGATGCCAATTCAAGGGGTGTAATTTTCACATCTCAGAAATGTGATATTTACCTGCATAGTCAGCAGAGGGCTGGGCAGCAAAATCTAGTGTTGCACTATACTATGTTCTAACATCGACGTTCCCTGCATTCATCAACCAGCACTGACCACGTCTCGCATGGCAAGACAAACCCCTCATCGAAATGTACGAAAAAATAATCGTTTATAGTTCCTATTATTTGTAATATATTGAGTCGTTCACTCAGGCTTTTTTTTAATTGGTTACGTTTGTTTACCCAGAAAGGCCTCACTGAGTCTCGAGAACCTTTTTCAGGAGGTTCCTGCTGACTTTACGCAGTAGGGGGGCGACTGTCTCTACGTGTGTTTCCAATTAAGTCATTTGCGAGTATAATTATTTTCAAATTTGGACCAAGGCGCTGGCACACATCGGCCTACTCTTCGTTGAATGACGTCAAGGGAACTTTAACATCCGCTGTGAAGCACACGTTGCATTGTATTTCCTGGCTAATATAGCCCCAGAATTATTGAACCAAGTGTGACATACGCACGTCCATGGCTCGGACATCTCACCGGCCCTGGCTGAGCCAGCGAGCCTAGAGTCCCGTGTGTGATAGCGGAGCTGCGACGCTCTGACCGGCCGTCTGCTGTGCGTGCGCCAGGTACGAAGCGTGTCGGAGCGACCTGACCTGCGCCCGTAACTGGATGGAAAACTTCAGCTGGAATGTGACCAACAGCTGCCGCAACAGCTGCATTCCATTCAGCGAGGTATGGCTGCCTTTTTCCATTATGAGCACGCGTACTGCTGCCACAGTTAAAACTGTTGCTGTTATGCTTGACTGGCAGTGGGTCAAAGCATCCTCTATCCCAGCAGCTCACTGCTACCAGTCCATCCGTGCCTTCAGAGCAAAGTGGAGCAATTTGGTGCAGGCAGCTGTTTTAATGTACTTCACTCAACTTCACTGAGCCCCTCAACCAATATCAACGACGGCATTGAAACCTACCAATTAATTATTCTTAACATGCCGGCAGTCAAGTCACCTACTTATCACATTGCTTTTTTTCTGGTTACTGTATCCTGTGAACTTTACTCGTTGATTCCACCACCCGTATTGAGGACTCGGTTCTACCAGACACTGACCGTTTCCTCTTAGACACACTGCAGAACACAACAACACACTCGCCTGCTCACTCATCCACTGACCAATTCACCACACTGCAGATCACAACACTTTATTTTCTTCTTCTACATTTTCCTATCGCACTACTCCATTTGGAAATTCTCTCCCATTGTCTCTTCTCAATTCGAAATAATAATCTTTCTCAATTCCCAAAACTATTGTCTATTGTACCATCAATTGTGCTATTTGTTGCTGGCTGCTTGGCGTTTTGGACACGAGTGCAACTGTGACTAGAAGAAGAATAAAATAAAGAAATGCGAATGGTCCTTCTGTCAACCCACTGCTGGATGAGCCCCCCCCCCCCCACCACTGTGCGAGTCATGGGCGTTATTTAACCATACCTCACCATGCTGGTCAGTGGGGATTGCTGAGGGGTAAAGAGATAAGCTCAGGTATAGGTGCTCGATGGATTGTTACATTGCATGGCCATGACAGAGGGGCGATGGATTTGGGAGCCCTTCATCCAGCAGTGGAATAGATCGTTGCTTATGACAACGTTGATATTTTTCAAACTACAGTACATTATGCCGCATATCTGACTCACTGGGGGATTGCGGTGGATATGTGTAAAGGTCGAGTATGTGAATATCTGCAGTTACACCACCATGCGCCATAAAGGGTAACCGACAAAAATAATGCACAAACGTCTTTAAACACAGGGAAAGGATTCACTATGCTTGAGTAGTGATTGAATGAACGTGAGATCAGAACGCACGACTGTGTGAGGAGAGGTTGAATTTGTGCACGTCTATAGAAAATGACCAGCACGTCTTGAACAATTACTGGGCTACCTGTATTACTCAGCATTGGTTCTTCTGATGCCATTTATGCCACAGCAGAATTTAGGATAAGCCGTTGCTTACCCTTCTTCTCAGCGTGACACATCATGCCATGTTTTAATGCGTAAGCCTGGCTTTGCTAGGAATTCAATGTCATGCCACATGGCAACCGAGGTGGATTGTGCTTAACGAGAATAAGTGCTGATTACTTTCTTAAACACACTAAATTGCTCATTAGGCGAGTGGTCATTTTCCAAAAGGCGACTTTGGTGTAGGGTTTGTACGTTGCTGGCCAGTTGTGACAGTTAAATATATTTTTGATATGGATACGAGTTGAGTTGCAACTATAAATCCATGTATAAGTATTGTGTTGAGTGTGTTGTACTTGCCCTGCACCTTCGATTAGCACGGTTGGCTACGTATGGTGCGAAAGAAGTTCAACATACATACGTAATTGGCTTCACATCACGTGTGGATCATTCATGGCCTCAGAGAGCACGTACAGTGGACGTGAGTTCACGATGTGTATCACTGCTATGCGCTGCAGTCGCATTCACGGGAACTACCCTAAATTGTATGAATCACACGTGAACCGGCCTCGGCAGGTGCAACTGCCTTTTCCACAAATGGAAAATGTACGAATCTTCCAAATGCCAGTTTAACGCTGCAAACTACAAATGAGAGACATAAAAAGAGGAACGCACAGATCAGAGAATAAATGCAAATCACAAATATCAGAGACAAAAGTTGGTTTGGACAGGACAAATTGCTATAAGAGGTAATAGCTGAAAGACAAGACTTGTGACGGAATGGCAGCCAAAGGAGGGATTGTACCGTATTTTAGAGAATCATCACAACAGAGACAGAGCAATGAGATTAGCTCATGCGCAAGATCTATAGATGGCTTGTTGCAATGCGGGGAAGGCATTCGTCCAGCAGTGGCCAGATCATGGCTGAGGTATGAATATAATTTTTAAATCGGGAACACAGCAGGTTCTGTCTCAGTGCTCTAACTTGACGTTTATCATTCGTCTTCAGCTTCCCAGCTGCTTAACAATGCGCATTTTCAATATCAAGGTGAGTAGGTCGACTGAGACGCAGACAACAAAATGTGTCTGGCCTGATTCAACAGTTATTCGAGCATCGGTTCCACTGGGCGGTGAATGATTACACAGTCAGGTGGGGTAAGACTTACAGGCAAAGGCCGTTCGAAACTGCATGAGCGTGTAAGCTCATGCAGAGGCACGGGTTATGGATTTATACATTTCTGCGTTGCTAAGTCTGTAGCCAGGAGGGCGAGCATATCATCGTCGTTTATTATTTATACTGCGCCTGCCGTGAAGTACATCACGAGGCACCAGAACACAGATACATTCGAGATAATTTATTCAGTCAAGAAACGATTGCAGATCAAATTATGATTTTCAAAAACAATACACTGAAGACTGACTATTAACAACAAGCATAACAGGGAGGACATGGTTAACATCCAGCGAAAGCCTCTGACCAAACGTGAAACCTCTTAGCTCACCAAAGGTGATATCGCCCTGTGCACGCAAATTATCATGGATTGTTCTTGCAAAAAGAAAAATGTAAGTTATTGATTCCCGTTAATGTTACATTTTCAAATTCGAGCAATTCTACATATATGCATACAGGCCATTTGTCAATCCATATGATTTTTTTTTCTTGCAGCTCCACAGTAACTTTCTGAACATCTGAAAAAGAGCTTTATAGCTCATCAAATTCCTCCAGTATAAATGAAGATTCTGACAGTCACGTCTTACAGTCCGTTCTCGTGATGTGAGTGTGTGGAGCATGGGGTGGGAGTAGCTGGGCCATAGAAATGGATATATTTTAACATAATATCTCTGTGCTTTTGCCATTTTACTCTTGGATGAAGTCCTTCTCACACTGTATTGGTTAAGGGCGTTGTTTGACCATACCTCAAGGGGAGTTAGCTGTGGCAGGGAATTGAACTCGGGCATCACATTCATAACAGAGCGCTAACCGCTGTGCCACCGCTCCAACTCATGACATTAAAAAAGACAGTCAGTGATTTCCTGCTCAAATGCGCATTGAGGCGGTGCTCATCTCCACTTTGCAGCCTGAGCCATTGAAGCAAATTCCACATTCGTATGGTGGGGTGGAATATCCATAGGATAATGCCTCTTGACTTCCCCTCAAAGTTGGGAGTCATTTTATGACCCCAGAAGGATGATTGACGAGATCGACCCCCCAACCAGGATTTGAACTCACCACCTTCCATATAAGGGAAAAACACAACGTATAATTTGTGTAGCATTCAACTTGCAGTAGCTAATATACGATGGTTCTTTGACAATGCTATCCAGTATGAATGTATGGCGTTGTCTCCATCATCGTGAATATATATATGTATTGAGTCCAACCGAGTCACAGACGTCATTCTTCAGAGGCAACACATTTATTGTAACACGTATATACAAAGGGGTAACTGCCCCTTTACCAGATACAGCCTGGGGTGGTGGACCACCAGGCTAACTACGCTAGTTACTGGGAGTAGCTACCACGGACAGGACCCTGGCTTGGGTCCTTGTCCACGTGTTGGTGACTTCTTCTTGGACGTAGAATATAGATCGTAGATCTTCAGATGACAACAGCAACGCTGGAACCCCGGTTCCTGTGGGGACCTGGTTTATATGCTCCTGGGTCGTGGCTGGCCCTGCCCCTGGCCACGGCCACCTTCGAGAAACCTCTTTGTTGTTTCTCGACCCTTCCCGTAGGATATCACCCTGACACGTGACCACCCCCTAGCCCCCACCTGGGGCCCCTGTGTAGATCTTACCCGTCACGTGCTTTCCAGGGTCAACCAGAGTGCCATGACCTCGAGACACCTCATCCCATGGCTGACACGCTCCCTCCTGTAGGAGTCAGCACTGCACGCCACGCGTGGTGCCACTGAGAGCTATCACAGCACTCACCGAGCCCCGTCTAGGGCTAGTACTACACCCACCTACGGGGTTCCTGTGATGATAATGTATCGCACGCCGTGCCTCGCTGGAGCCGGTATTATTCAGCAATATTCACGATGTCGCTACATACTGATGTCCGCGATGCGAGTACATCACACGCCATGCCTCTCTAGGGCCGGCACCACATAGTGACATCTGAGATGTCACTGTGTCACTACACAAGGATTAGTAAATTGTTGACCATTGCTTTACCCAGCAAAGTTTGCGTAATAACGCACCCGTCGAGACAATGCATTTTCATGTGGTTCTCCCTTCTTTTGGCATTGTGAAATATCCTTCTTCCCATGACATGCCTCGGGTTTGTGTACCTCAGAGATGGCAACCCTACGTGGGCCATATCAAATGAAGCCGCTTTGCAGGTCAAAGATTTCCCTACCCCTGTTCTAGGCATCCATAGCAGAGCATCGCCCGATATGGTGAGGCGATATGCTTCACCATATATTATATCATAACTATATGGCCTCTATGCTGTAATTGTCACTTTGCCTTTATTAAGCATTTGTTAGCCAAGTTATTTTTTATTTAGCATTCTGGGTCAATATTTGTCGGGAAAGAAGGGACACATAACCTGTTGGTTTATATTTTATCATCTTGTATGCAGTGCAGCATACTATCAAGCAGCATAGCAATGGCACACATGAACTTGGCGACCTGAATTTGATTCCCAATCACGGCTGTTGTCAGTAGCAACTGATATATTAATTGAGTGATACTCTTTGGTTCTTTCGGTAAAATCACGTAGGTATATATATCTCGGTTGTAGTTGTGTCTGTGTTTATATATCTGATATATAT